TGCATTAATTCTTTGAAAATCTTCTTCTCTGCTCCTGGGTATTATTTAAAGAAACTAAGTGCATAGTAATGGTACACAAAAATGCTTTTTCCAAAATTGTGAAATTCATGGCCTCAGGGTCAGGGGTTCTGGTGTTAGGGTGGGGTTCTATTGATTATATAGTGAACATGCATTAATTCTTTGAAAATCTTCTTCTCTGCTCCTGGGTATTATATAAACAAACTAAGTGCATGGTTATGATAAGCATTGATGCCTTTTCCATAATTGTGAATTTCATGGCCCCCGAGTCAGGGGTTCTGGTGTTAGGGCAGGGCTCTATTGATTATATAGTGAAAATGCATTAATTCTTTGAAAACCTTCTTCTCTGCTCCTAGGTATTATTTAAACAAAGTAAGTGCATGGTTATGATGCACAAGGATGCTTTTTCCAAAATCGTGAAATTCATGGCCCCAGGGTTGGGGAATTGGGGGGGGGGGGGGCTCTATTGATTATATAGTGGAAAAGCATTAATTCTTTAAAAATCTTCTTTTCTGTTCCTGGTTATAAAGTAAACTAAATGTGTAGTTATGATGAACTAGAGTGCTTCTTCATGAATCATGGCCTCTAAGTCAGATGTTCTGGTGTAAGGGTGGGACTCTATTGATAATATATTGAAAATGCATTAATTCTGTTAAATAATCCTGTCTGCTCCTTAGTGTTGAGCAGATAAATAAAGTGCATAGTTATGATGAACAATTGTGCTTCTTACAAAATTTTAAAACTTGTGGTCTTCTGGTTTTGGTGTTTCTCAGGGATGGGGGGGGGGGGGGGTTAATTCTTTGAAAATCTTCAACTAAGTGCATAGCTTTGATGATGTGGGTACCTCTACCAAATTTATGAATTTCATGACCGTGGGACATGGGTTTTAGTATTAGGGTAGGGGTGTGATGAATCTGTAGTGAAAATGCATTATTTCTTTTAAAATCTTCTCTGCTCCTTGGCATATCGAAGGCAAACAGAATTAAAGTTTTAATAAGCAAGGGTATTTTTACCAGATTTTTGAACATCAGGACCATTTGGTCAAGTGTTCTGGTCGTAGTCAGGGCTCTATTAATTTGTATTCAACTGAGAGAACTTATTCCCCTTTGCCATTTACTTTTGATAAGTAATCACTGTAAATAATGTACTTGAAAGGTTAATAGAATAAGAGAACTATATATGCAAAAAATCTTATTGAATAATACAAAAAGTACTTTAATAGTTTTAAAATATCAGGTAGACTTGTAAATAATAAATAGATAAAAATGAGACAAAAATAACTTATTAAAATAATGTTCTTTAAAGACCAAGAGAGGCCAATGTGAGAGGTGACAATGTGGGGTTAAAAGTAGTACAGAGGAACTAATAGTTTGTTAATAGTCTGCATGATGATAGTGCTAAATGGGGGATAAATTAAAATTTAATGTATGAGTTGTTACTGAATACTAGACCAATTATTTCATTGATTCTGATCATCCTATTTCTCTTGCTTTTAGGCAACAAAGCTTCATCTATCAGTTTATTTTATACTCTATGGATCCTCTAAATTGTTGTATTATACTCAGGTGACCGTTAAGGCCCTTGGGCCTCTTGTTTAGAAAGATATACTCTAAATATAACGTCGACAAATATTCAAATACGAATAGAATAGTTGTACCGAATATTCAAATATTGATTTTTGGTACGTATTTGTTTCAGCTCTACTTTTTATGAAAGTGACTACCATACAAAAACACAAATAAGCAAAATACGTAAGACTAAACAAAATAGAACACTAAAAATACGTAAGACTAAACAAAATAGAACACTAAAAAATCAATTCAGTGACACTGCACGGAAAATGTAATAATTAAAAGAAAGATGGAAATTTACTTACACATAAAATATGGGTAGTTTTTCCAACATGGCTGTCATTATTTTGTTTACCTGTGTTTCAGTCTTCCTTGTTTATTTATAACCATGCAGTTTTTTGGGTAAATTAATTGATTTAAGGACCCTCTATACACTAGAGGAAAATATTTTTTGGACATTCAGAAAATTATAGTGTGTAAAGGTGTAAGCATTGAGCTTATCTATCACATTTTCAGCATAGGGTACCTTGCATTTACCCCCAGGAAAAATATTCAAAGACAATGAAGTACTGATGAACATAAATCACTGTTGTTTACTTAAGTGGGCAAAATATCAGCAAATGAAGTGTTCTATCTAATCATCTTGGCCTATTAAAGTGTTATAAATGCTTGATTTGATCACAAATTAAGTAATAAACTGTACATTTCAATTTAAATTATTCTTGATCAAAGGGCGGATCACTCTATCTGCATAAAATACCACAAAATCAGAACTCTCTGCGTGTGCAGTGTATAGAGGGCTCTTAAAGGTTCTGTCATACAATGCAAAAATTCTAATATATATTACCATAAAATGAAGTTTTACTTTAAAAAAAAAAAAAAGCCTCTTGATGAACTATGGGTAGCTTTCTGCTAATTAGTGCACACATTGTTATAACTTTCCTTTAGCATATGCATAATGACTTTCATTATAACAGCTTGTAATAAGCATATCTCAAAACGTTTCTGACTTATGTGGAATGCTTACACAAGATTTATTTAACTTGTGTAGAACTCATTAAAGGGTTGTTTTGACACGCTATATAAAAACAATCTGGCTCTTTTCAAACCCAGATCAATGTAAAAATGGAATGTAGATGAAGCAACATGCCTCTAAAGAAAACATGGAGAGTTACGAGGGGTGATCAAAAAGTTCTCCATCTCTATATTTACAAAACCACAATTCAGATCAGAATGAAATTTGGCACACATATAGTCATAAACATTCTATAAATAGCAGATATTACGTAATGTTTTGCTCCATGTTTGTGACGTCACAGTGTGAAAATGACGTCAATATGTAGGTGACTTGTGACGAAAAATGGGTGACACAGTCTTACTCGAGCAAGGTATGGCTGTAAAGATTAACGTAAATCCTTGAAATTCCTTTGCAGTAGCATATAATAATTTGTTCAGGATTTATGAGGACAAAGGACTTGCAAGAAGTTCATTCATTAATTGAATATTTTTTTAGTGATGGAAGGGAGATGGTTAATATGATGTTTGTTCTGGTGCCCATTGAAAATATGCTGGGAAAGAGATGTATCCTTAGTTAAGCAATCTGTTATGAAAGATTGCCAATATACGGTTAGAAAAATAGTTGAATATCTTAACAATAAAATAATCATTAAATCCCTAGAATATCATTTTCTTTAGATTTTAAACATATCAGATATGATAAAGAGAACGCGTCCATACTTGATACATATTATAAAAACGACCCATCTATTTCAGAGTAGTTTGGCTCTGATGGTCATGCTCATTCTGGTGAAAGATATTGTTTATCCACCAATCCTTTTGCCAAGATTTGGTCATTTATGACAAATGGACTATTCCAGTTATAAATAATAACCTGCATAGTAATAATTACAGCTAAACTTCGAAATCTCAAACACGGATACCTCGAATACCCTGGATATGTTGAAGTAAAGCCGAGGTCCCGATGAAATTTGCTTTATAAATGATTAAAATAAACCCCTCTATGTCGAACAAGGTAATGTTGAATACCCCGGTTATCTTGAAGTAAAGTTGTGTACCCATTCATTAACAGATAATAGCGCGCTAATTATACGAGGTGTATGTATATGATTTTAATTATGCAAGCCAAAGGTTGTGTGTATTAGTCTTATGCATACATGTGGATGACATGTGAATTGTTTTGTGGCTGGGGTACTTTTTTCTTGATAATCGCTTTTTAATGCTATGTGTAATATGCGCTCTTGCATAGTTTATGCATATAAAAGCGAAAATTATAAACATCAAAGAGAAACAAAATTTTGTAATTTAATGCATTGCCAAATAGAATTTATTTTTCCTATATGAGTGTGCATAATTTACTATCATCAGTGCACACCAATATGTGAGCGTGTGTCGCAGTGAAAACTTTTGCTATAATAGTGCCCTATGATTCAGTGTTGTTCTGTAGTTAAACAAAAGTGCGTGTTTCTTCTTTTGCATTTGATTTTACTATGGTAAAATATTTTCTTTTAACTGATTATACATGTATGAACATGTTTTTTTTTCAATAAAAAAAAATGTATATTTCGTTTGCGTTATTCTGACAGCGACCAGTTTTAAATTTACGATGCATAGATGATATCCAGTTATGTATACATGGGAAACGATGCTAGAGGTTGACTTGCCGGGTTGTTAGAAGGATTATTCAACTGGGCATATTATACAAAGTATTGTTTTGTGAATTATAAAGAAGATGTAAAAATCTTTTTAATGCTAAATACATACTACATGTATATTAAAGAAATCGTATACAAAATTTCAAATAAGAAGGAATTTGACGTTTCTTCTATACTATGAAGTGCATGTTCACTTCACTAAGTCATTAGAATTATAACCTTCGATATGTCGAACCCCAGGATATCTCGAAGTTCATGAACGGTCCCGTCAACTTTGAGATAACAAAGTTTAACTGTATAAGATTCATAAAAATCTTTTAGCTGCTGTGAACAGAACGCTACGGAGCATGTCACGTTACTGCCTGGACCATGTGTTTCATGCATATGCAGAACGGTGGCAGATGTGCATTAAAACCGGAGGGGACTACTTAAAAATAATACACACTGAAACCAAGTTCCATTGGAAGGGAACTAAATGGCCCCTCATTTGAACAATTTTAAATCCCCCTTAATCGGGTTGCTTTGTGCCATCTTGAATTAAAATTGGCCCTGTGGTTCTCTAGATCGAAAAAAGCTCACTTGAGCCTACATCAGTACTCAAGCGAGCTAAAATGTATCATAAGATATGGTGTCCTTTCCTGATCACTTGATAGTTTTCAAATGAAATATGACAATTATGCTTTTGGAGTATTATTGTAAACAGATTTGATTTTTTCACACATTGTTTTATTATTTTCAGACTGTGAATATGATATGAAGATTTACAGCCATAAGGAGTCATTTATTGCCAGCTATGATCCCTGTCTCAACTGTTCCTGCATGAATTCAATTGTTCGCTGTATCCCCATCATGTGCCCCAATGTAGATTTCCCCTGTAGGAACCCCATCAGAAAGGGAGAGGGTTGTTGTGAATATGTCTGTCCAAGTAAGTGGTGTCATTACATAGGAACAGTTTTATTTTGCTTACCTGTTCAGACAGACATTGGGGATTGCACCATATGTACAATGCAATTGTCTATGAAGAATAAACCACTTATTTATCCTGATCTTACTAGTTACAATTTTGACAGAAACACCAAAATAAAACTGTACCTACATGTATATATCTACAGGTTGTGTAGATGGAGGAAAGGAGTATTATAATGGAGACACCTGGCCTTCTCCACGCGACCCCTGTCAGGTGTGTCAGTGTTCAGAAGGAATTGTTACCTGTAGAACCAACAAGAACTGTATGTACAGGTGTACACATGGAATCATACCCCAGGGAAAGTGTTGCTCAGACTGTAGAGGTAAGATCATAAAGGTGCACACGTGGAATTATTCCCAAGGGAAAGTGCTGCTCAGACTGTAGAGGTAAGATCATACAGGTGCTCACATGGAATTATTTCCAAGGGAAAGTGCTGCTCAGACTGTAGAGGTAAGATCATATAGGTGTACACATGGAATTATCCCCCAGAGAAAGTGCTGCTCAGATTGTAGAGGTAAGATCATTAAGATGTACACATGGAATTATTCCCCAGAGAAAGTGCTGCTCAGACTGTAGAGACAAGATCATATAGGTGTACACATGGAATTATTCCCCAGGGGAAGTGCTGCTCAGACTGTAGAGGTAAGATCATTAAGATGTACACATGGAATCATTCACCAGGGAAAGTTCTCTGTAGAGGCCATTTCAACAAAAGGTGTGTGTATGGGTATCTACCTTAAATCATTTTCCATGAAATATGCTGATCACAAAGTGGAAGTTAAAATAAAATACCTATATGTATTTGTGCTTTGATTAAGGATGCAGACACTGTAGGAAATTTATATACTATATACTTGGTCCTGTCAATTCAGTTTCTTGCATATTCTAGTAGCCGTTTTTAGGCATTTGAAATATTAAATAACTTCAGAATTAGATTATAGATTATCTGTTAAGCAGTTGTGTTTAATGATCCCATAAATTGTAGACTGTCTGTTCAATGGGCGAGTGATCAGTGATGGGCGTCGGTTTCAGGCCCCGGGGGACAGGTGCCAGCAGTGTACCTGTGAGCGAGGTAACGTCAGGTGTCAGAGTTCTGGACCCTGCCCCACACTGTCCTGTAGGATCACAGAACAACTGCCCGGGGAGTGCTGCCCTAGATGTAAAGGTTAGAAGATAATCTGTTTCCAAAATTTATTTTTGTTTTTAATCAGTGATTACATTTAGTGTTTCAATCTTGAACTTGGATTCAAACAAGAAATACTCTTCTAGATGAGCTTGCACTTGAATTTGAGATAATTTGAAGTGTTTTTCCTTCATTAAATTAATTATAGCTGATATTACTTTCTGTAAAACACTCACTGCTTCAAACTCAAATGATTTTGATTAAACAGTTGCATGATAATTTGAAAAGAAAACTAACAAATTTGAATGTTGTATGACAAATATATCTACTTTATTATATATTTTGATATATTTCTCAACAAATTATACAGAGGAACCCGGGCTTTTACAGAGCCACATCAGCCCGCATGTGCACTGTAATGCAAATGCAAATGTAGTCTTTGGGCATTACAGTGCACATCATATATTACAAAATTATCCTCCTTTTTCGGGGGGGGGGGGGGGGGGAGGGGGGGGTTCTTTTAATTGAGTATAAACAGATAAATCTATGTAAAATTTTTTCAATATAGGCTGCATACATGATGGACAAAGGTATCAAAATGGTGACACCATTTCAGCCAGTCTGTGCGAGAGCTGTGTGTGCAACCAAGGTAAAAAAAAACAACCTCAAATAACAAGCAGTTTAACCCCTTATTCCGTGCTTTATATGTGTCCTGAGTTCAAAGATCTTGTTGCAGTGTGCATTGCCCCCTTCTGGTGGGACATAGTTAGGTATAGTTTTTTTCCTGCCCTAGTATTCATCTGCCATGCAATTTTTTTCTTTGTCTGAATTATATCCTGCATATGTTAAGTTTTTGACAGATTCTGCATCTTATTTAGGGATGAGTTGTGTCATGATCCAAAAGTATATTCAAACACATTCTGTTTAGAATCATATTTTCCACACTGACTGTTAGGCATAGAGTCATAAAAACCTCAGTTTGTCAATTGAAATATCTTGTGGAATGATGTTTCATGACTGGAAACTACATTGTGATATCATACTTTCATTATGGGCACATCTTGGCTTTTGCAATTTGCTCTATACATCGATTGCATAACTGCAGAACTCTTAAGAAAAAGGGCTTGATACTTGGTCAAGGTGATAAGGTTTTTGGTAGGTTAGGTTGATAGTTTAGAGAACAGAGGTAAAGCAGGAATTGGTCATCAAAAGAGATTGGTACTGTTGTTAGTACAGGTTTCTTTCTTTTTTCTTTTGCTTGTTGTTCCATTGAATCGTGTCAAAATTTGCAAATCCATTGAGTGGTATATGGTTCTTACTAGAATGTGAGTAGTTGCCCTCAGTGCAGTCCAAAGATGGTCTTGCTGGCCAACAAATTTTTTTGGAAATCAGATTACATCTAGTACTTTCCATGTATATACATGTAATTTTATATCATGCACATAGCATTCTCGTTTGCATGAGTATTGTTTGCTGTGTAAATTAAGCCTTTAGTAATTTCATTTATATATTTACATATATGATTATTGTTTGCTGACAGGTGCAGTAGAATGTAAGCCTATTAGCTGTGCCCCTCCCCGCTGTGAAAATCCCATACAGGTACCAGGGAGGTGCTGTCCTGTGTGTCAGGGCTGTGAGTACCAGGGAATGTCCTACCCTGAGGGACAAACCTTTAACAACCCCAGAGACCCATGTGAACAGTGCACTTGTCAAGTAAGAAAGGATTTACAATTATTTAATGCTTATTTTATTATCAGTTAAATAAATTTGATTCATTGGGGGGGGGGGGGGAGAGAGAGAGAGACTGATCAAACTAATAACCAACACTGCAATTTCTGATTAAAATATCATCAGGCCATATTATTAATTTTGTATGTTCTTAAAGATGTCTAGTTTATTTACTCAGATGGAATGTTTTATCTTTGATTTTTGATGTCATATTTTCATTTTTAAGTTGATTATGTTTTAGAACTGTCAGATCACTTCATTTTATTCGCTGAGTTGGAATAAAAACATTTTAATTTTCATTGGATGAGTTCTATCTCTTTATCAGAATGGCCGAGTTCAGTGTAGGAGGAAACCTAATCTTTGTTCCCCCCGCCTTTGTACTCACCCAGAAACAAAGCCAGGAGACTGCTGCCCCGCCTGTGATGGGTGTGTTTTTATGAGGAGGAGATTCTCCAATGGCCAGAAGTTTGTCCCTGCAGGAGGGGATCCTTGTAAAATCTGTAGATGTATGGTAGGTATTGGAGGAAATTGTTAGCATGAATGAACAGATCTAGGAGTTACTTTAGTATGAACATTCATGAATTTTGCTAAATTAAGAAAAAAAGAGGATACTTTCCAAAAAAATGTAGTGTTTGAAACTATATATGAATATATCCCAGACCACAAGAATGGTCAAAATTTGAGGGATTCATATTTACAGAATGGTAATGTCACATGTATGTCAATGGATTGCCCCTCCTTGGACTGTAAAAATCCAGTCAAGCCCCCAGGGTACTGCTGTGGGGTGTGCCCCCTGGCCTGTACAGTCCGAGGCAGGAACTACAGTGAGGGACAGACATTTGCTGACCCCAGAGACAAGTGTAATGTCTGCACCTGTGCTGTATGTATAATCTGAGTTACTTTTGTAATTATGTAATTTTAGTACAATGGTGAAATGGTAGATAGTTGACATGTAGTTAAGCAATATAAATATTATAGTGACTGTCTGTGCTGATGTTCACTTTAAGAAAACTATTTTGGAGGCATTTTATTTTGCAATGGTTGGACAAAGGCATTTCGAAATGTTTAAGGCAGATGAATTATTTTTGTACAGGATGGTTCCATCACCTGTAAACCAATGGTGTGTCCAGTTCCTCAGTGTAACAACCCGACCATACGACCAGGTCAGTGTTGTCCGTCATGTCAAATGTGTAGTCATGGCAACAGACAGCTACAGAATGGAGAAAGTTACGTCAATCCTAAAAACCCCTGTCAACAGTGTACCTGTCAGGTAAGAGAGAAAGTTACATCAGATATGGTAAAGGAAAAAAAAGAAAAAGTTATATCAGATATGGTAAAGGAAGGAAATACAAAGTTACATAAGATGAAGCCAAAGGAGAAATGGATCTTTGTGAGTACTTAGATTAGTTCAAATTTCCAAAAGAGAGAGAATATTGCAGCATCAGTGCATATGTTAGAACAATTGTTTCAAGAAATTCCTTCAAAATCTGTTGGAACAGTTTGCAGATTGAAGGTGTATTCAATATTACGAACAAGATAATGTTTAAGAATAAATTCCGCTGACTATGTGTTGATTTTGTACAGAATGGTGTAGTGACCTGTACCAGTGTAAGGTGTCCTGTCCTTAACTGTATTGACCCCCTGTATGAGCTTGGTAAATGCTGTCCATCCTGTCCCTCAGACAAATGTATCGTGGAGGGGCGGACCTACAGGTCAGGTGACATCTTCTGTCTGCCCTCTGACCCCTGCCAGGAGTGCCAATGTATAGGGTCAAAGGCCACTTGTGCCAAGAGGGAGTGTCCAGAAACTAGGTGCCGTCATCCTGCATTTTTGGCTGGTAAATGTTGCCCAGAGTGTAAAGGTAAGAATTATACATGTTCAGTCAATCCTTGTTGACTTTCAAGTCACTTCGACATATCCATGGTATTCAAGATATCGTTGTTCGAGATACCAAGAAGTTCAACTGTACATGAACATGTTATGCCATCGCATTATAAAGTTGATATTTCATCTGTCCAGTCAATAAATAATCATAAAATGTAAAAAAGAAAATTTTGTTTAGCTCAGAAAAAATTTGCATATTGAATTTATCAGAAAAAAGATTTCATGAATTTGTGTACCAGTTCCTATAGTTTACGTCTTTTTCATTGCCTACATAAGTAAGTGATTTCTTTTGTAGACTGTAATTACAATGGACTAATATATAAGGACAAAGAACAGTTTGCTAACCCAAGAGATAGATGCCAAACCTGCACTTGTAACCTTGGTAATGTAGTCTGTAAGGCCTCCAACTGCCCAGTCACACAGTGCCAGCACCCTGTCACCAACAGATGTTGTCCTGAGTGTAAAGGATGCTTCTACAAGAGTCGTACTTATCAGAATGGGGAGCGATTCCAGGACAACAGAGACCCCTGCGTGACTTGTACCTGCAGGGATGGGAATGTGACCTGTGTACCCAAGCCCTGTCCCGCAGTGTCATGTAAAAACTCTGTACAGGGGCAATGCTGTGCTGAATGTGTAGATTGTATGTATCAAGGGAGACGACTGAGGAACGAACAGAGATTTAGAGATAACAACAACCCATGTAATGAATGTAGGTGTAGACAGGGAACTGTTACGTGTTCTCCCTTACCCTGCCCTACCACCAGCTGTAGTAACCCCACCCAGGGGAGGTGCTGTCCTGAGTGTAGAAACTGTTTAGTAGATGGCAAGGTCATTCCTAACAACCAGCCTGTTCCTAGTGCCCCAGGCTCCTGTCAACAGTGTATCTGTAGGAACGGAAACGTAGAATGTGGAACCAAGCGCTGTAAGAGTGTTCAGTGTAGTCACCCTGTGCAGCGTGAGTGTTGTAGGGAGTGTTCAGACTGTTTACTCAATGGTAAAGAATATAGAAATGGTGAAATGTTCCCAGATAGCACTGACAGATGTAGGGAGTGTCAATGTGCAAATGGAAATATTCAGTGTAGACAGAAGATTTGTCAGGATATCAGACAGCTATGTAACAGTCCCGCTGTCACTGACTGCTGTCCTAGGTGTCAGGATTGTCAGTATAGGGATCAGTTATATAGAGATGGAGAGAGGTTCCCTGATGTATCAGACTCCTGTAAAGAATGCGCCTGTCAAAAAGGGAATGTCAACTGTGTTCAGAAAACATGTCCGGCTATCACCTGTTCTCATCCAATCAGAGACCAGTGTTGCCCTCGCTGCGGATCTGACTGTTTCTATAACAACAGGATGTTTGCAGACAAACAGACATTCCGTGAAAGTTGTAGGACTTGTGAGTGTGACAGGGGTACTGTGACATGTTCAGATGTCAGTTGTCCCTCCGCTCAGTGTAGCCACCCTGTGTATGATGAATGCTGTAAGAGATGTGACAGGTGCTTGTTTGAGGGGAGAATCTATGGGGACAGACAGAGTTTTCAGGATAGAAATGACCCATGCTCATCATGTGTCTGTCAGGTAACAAAAAATATATATATTTAATGTACTGATATCAATAAGGAACTTAAAAATTCAAAGAAAATCTAGAAATTTTTTATTTTGAGAAAATTGTCAAGGTCATTTTGAAAATTCCTAAGATGAGCAATCTACAGGTAAACTTCGGTATCTCGACAGCGGATATGTTGACAACCTGGGATATGTCGACGTCCTTCCGTGGTCCTGGCAGTATTTACTATATAAATGATTTGCAAAAACTCTGATATGTCGACCTCGGTATGTCGACAACCTGGGTTATCTCGACGTATATATTCACAGTTCCAAGAGCAAAATTTACCTAGTATATGTCAACATCGGCAATTTTCTGCTCTACGAAACCTAACTGTTTGTCAGATAGGGTCGCTCTTCACGCACGGATGACTCCAGGTATCTCGATGTCAAAATTTCACACCCATGTTTTGACTGCATGCTACTTAATTCATTCTGTTGACTGTGTTTGTAGTTGAATCCCAAGCCCCCTCGGTGTCTTTGAGAAGTTGCTTAATGTTCAGCTTGGGTAATATCATTGCTAAATCTACATGATTCTGCGTAAATGTACAGATGGTTATTTATATCAAAACCTAACATAACTTTTAAATTTGAAAAAGGTAACTAAATTACAAAGAATAACAAACACACTGAATAAATCAAACTAAGGAATTAAAAGATATTTTGTAGTTAAAATGTATTCATCAGGAAACAATCCAATTAACAACACGATTGACCAAATCAGCCATAATTCATGCATCTGTAACATCACTACGTTAGTTTAGATACACAAATCTCTTAAAAATAAATTTTAATGTTACAGTACATTCTTCCTGAATGAAATAAGAAAAAAATAATCCCCATTTATTTTTTTTCCGTATATCGGATGTCAACTTTATACAGTTCAAAGTTTTATTTCATATTCTGTTCCGACAAAAAGCCAAGTTACATGCGAATGCTTACCTTTGTGAATTTAGAAAGATTTCAATAAAAACACGTTTTATAAACAAGAGTTTTAAAATAACTTCTTAGATTTTTTAATAAAAATAAAGGGAATTCTGAAATATGTTGAGCTAGTCTATATTGAAGTCATGTACATATAATAAGCTTGTCTGTTTTTCTATGCAGTGAAATCTTGGACTTCAAGTCTCTACTCTATATCTCAACACCTCAGATATCTTGACATTTTCCGATGGTTCCGTCGATGTCAAGATAACAAAATTTACCTGTTTTTGTACATCAGATAAAAAAGAGAATCTTTATGTACAATCTTGTTAATTTCATAAATGTAAGTACAGTGAAGCTTCATTAATCTGGATGTGAATAATCCAGACACTTCAACTACAGGACTTAATATGTGAAAAACAAAATAAACATACCCATCATATAAGGTCTGTTTCAGTAGTCTAGACAATTTGTACGGAAATACAGGTGTCATGATTAACCAGGCTGGATTTCATTTTGCCAGTAATCTTTATACATATACATGAAAATTTATGTTGATATAGACTTTGTATTTGTAGTCTGGCTCAGTGACCTGCAGTAAGAAACCTTGCCCGGATCATAAATGTTCCCATCCAATCACAACCCAGTGCTGCCCAGAGTGTACAGATTGTCTGTATGAAGGGGAGATAATTAGGCATGGAGAGTCAAAACGCAAGGATGAATGTCATGTTTGCACTTGCAGGGTAAGGGTTTATTTCCTCTGAATGTTTGAGTAGCTCTAATCTTTTTTTGTATTTTAGAGTTATTAAAATTGGGAAAAATGCATGTTTTGGGTTTTGAAGCCAGTGTAATTTTGAATGAAGAATTTTCATAGTGAATTTTATGGAAAATTCTACACCTCCCACATTTAATTTTTCACTAAAAATGGTTTAAAAAGTCTGCTGCCTTCATCTATATTTTAGAAAATTGGCTCTAGGAAAGTTTCAGTTTTTCTAAACCTTTGATGTGTTTTTGTAGTAAAGGAGTAGTTCACCTTTGATGGTGACTAAATAAAATAATATGCATATTTTATAGGCTTTCCTTATCCTGACCTATTGAAATTTGCACATCTCTGATTGGTTTTGTAGAAATGGCATGACAGTGATGTCTAAACAGGTCTTCAGAAATGGGATATGATAATTGATTAATCAGTGGACAAACTGAAATATAATTGATTAATTTTTATCTAATTCATATCCATCCCCTGTCTACCCTAATGAGTTTAATTTTATTGGAGAAAGTGACCCATGCAATAAATGGTTGCTACAAGGTTGCATACCAGGAATAATTTTTTTGAGTTGCATCTGTTCAGTAAATTTTTGGTTCAGTTACCGTTTTTTGGTTGTTCCCCCCCCCCCCCCCCCCATCTTTTTAAACTATAAAAATTTCATGATTGAAACTTAATTTTTTTTTACTTAAAATTCACCTTTTAAAACAAGTCTTGACATCTGCAATATTTAGGACTACCATGCTGAATATTAGCTTACAACATGACAACTCTTGTTTGAATTATTATCCTTTCCTTCTGTGACAAGAGTTTTTTCATGGATGAAGTAATCTTCAGTTGTGATGTTTATTAATCACTGTTATTGTGATCTCTCTTTCTTTTTGATGCCATTTTTAGCTCACTTGAGCTGAAAGTTTATTGATCACATTTTGTCTTGCATCCATCTGTCTGTCCATCTGTAAAGTTTTCACATGTTCGATTTCTTTTCAAGAACCACTGGGCCAATCTCAACAATTACCATAAAGCATCTTGGGTGAAGGGGATTCAAATTTCTTCAAATGAAGGGCCATGTCTTCTTTCAAGGGAAATAATTAAGATTTGGTGAAAATTTTCTGTCATCTTTTCAAAATTATTATCCCAGAAAAGTTGGATCTTATGTTAAACCTTCATTACATAGTGTAGATTCAAATTTGTGCAAGTCATGAACCCATGGGAAGGGTTGGGCCACAGTAGAGATTAAAGTTTACATAAGATACACTGTATGTAGGGAAATTTTTAAAAATCTTCTCAAAAAACAACAAAGCCACAATTTGACATACTAATATGGAAGCAGCCTCAGATAGTTTATAGTATCAAGTTTGTTCAAATAATGACCCCCTGTTGTTGGGAGGGATCACAATGGGTTATCCAGGTTTTACTAAAGAATACATACGAAAAATCTTTAAAATTTTCTCAAGAATGGCAAAACCACAATTTGTACTATTCATTTGGAAGCATCCTCAGGAAATGTAGATTCAGGTTTGTTCAAATCTTAACCACAATTTGTACTATTCATTTGGAAGCATCTTCAGGAAATGTAGATTCAGGTTTGTTCAAATCTTGACCACAATTTGTACTATTCATTTGGAAGCATTCTCAGGAAATGTAGATTCAGGTTTGTTCAAATCTTGACCCTCGGGATCACAATGGGTGATCAAAATTTTACAGTAGAATAGAAGATAAACATATAGGAAAAACTTGAAAAATCTACATTTGTCATGATAAACTATGTCTATGTGGAAAAATCTCGGTAGTATAGATTTAAGTTTGTTTAAATCATATGACACCTCTTCCCAGGACCACTTTTATATTAAACTTTTGCAACAAGTGATTTGTGCTTTTTCTTACCAAAGTGCTCAAATAAGCTATGTGGCCCATTACCTTCTTGTTTGTAAATTGATTGGTGAAAATTTAGGTCCTAGCTTTCTCTCTTATATAAGATTTTGCTATTTTAGTGGAATTGTGAAAATTGAGGTCATTTCTTTCTTGAGATAAATTTTGCTATTTTAGTTTGGATTTGTGAAAATTGAGATCATTTCTTTCTCTGCTATTTTAGTTTGGATGATCTGTGGAAATTGAGGTCATTTCTTTCTTTGCTATTTTACCGTTTACCGTTGCTATTTTAGTTTGGATCTGTGAAAATTGAGGTCATTTCTTTCTTTGCTATTTTAGTTTGGATCTGTGGACTGTAGAAGACCTGAATGTCCTACAGATATCTGTTCCAATCCCTACACAGATAGCTGTGGATGTCAAAGGTGTGACAAGTGTACTCATCAAGGAGGCACCTACAATAATGGAGCCACCTTCCCTGACCCACAGGACAAGTGTCGCCAGTGTCAGTGTCTGGTAGGTACCACATAATTTTGTATCCATCACAATTAGGAAGTTCTACTTTCACTTTTCAGAGGGAAATCCAAATTCAAAGTCAAGGTTTATGACTGAAACATTCCCTTTTTTCAAGAGTGATTCAGTTCATTTAAAAATTGCATGTTTTAATTTTTAAGTATCACTCATTAAAAAATGAGATAAAAATTCATAAACTGTATAATCTTTTCACATTTGACTAAGAATTAATCAACTGATGAAATATTGCAAGCTCTACTTTATATTCATCATCTTTACATTAAATTTAATAGTTCTATGGAAGTCTAGGTTTCAACAGAAAGCAGGCTCCATCTTCTTCTTAATCTTTTTTCTTTAAATTAATGGTTGAATAATAAGCCAACCAGTATTTGGGGGAAAAAATAGCCTCAACAAAGTTTAAGGGTGTTGGGTTGGTTCCCAACACAGACTAGTGTAAGACATAGTGCTCAGTATTATATGAGATATGATATCTTTAAGACCTTTAAAATCTAAAATAAAAGCGAAGGTGAGGAAAGGTGTTTTTGAAAGTGCACAATTCCCAGCACAGGTAAGTGCTCAGAGTTATATGCAGATACAAATAATGTAGGTGAAAAATAGATACTCCCTCTCACTGAATATAGGTATATGGTCAGCTGTTCTGATTTGTGTTTAATACCCAGCACAGGTAAGTGCTAGCTCTCAATATCATACCAGCACATTACAAGTGATAGGATCCAAACACTAAATACTTTAAGGAAATTGAAATACAATCAGGCGTTGCAATACATGAACAATTCCCAGCACAGGTAAGTGCTAGTTCTCAATATCATACCAGCACATTACAAGTGATAGGATCCAAACACTGAATACTTTAGGGAAATTGAAATATAATCAGGCATTGCAATACATGAACAATTCCCAGCACAGGTAAGTGCTAGTTCTGGATATCATACCAGCACATTACAAGTGATAGGAAATATACACTTAATACCTTAAGGAAATTAAAATGTCATCAGGTGTTGAGATACAGGGACAATTTCCAGCACAGGTAAGTGCTAGTTCTCAACATTAGTCATAGCAGCATATTACAAGTGATGAGAGCTGAACAATGTATGTGGACAAAAACATAAAAAGGCACACAATTGAGATGACATGAACATGTTCGGGAAGTGGATTTTTTGAAAAGATGATTTGGGATGTTTTATCATATATTGAAAGAATTCTGCTTTACAATTTCTGTTTAGCACATGCATCTGCAACTATATACACAAAATGAAAATCAAATTGAGGAATAAAGAACTGAAAATTAAGATATCGTTAATGTGAAAATGTAGAGATGTTTAATAATTGCCGAATTCAAGTGATAGGAACTGTACAATTCACTTTGTAAAAATTGAAAACAAGAAATTTTGTTATTCTGGTTTATTGATATTCATTTTCTATGCACATGTAAGATTCAGTTGTCAGTGTGCTTACATAGAACATTACAACTAATAGGAAAGGTACACTTGGTCCTCTACTAAACTAGGAAAAAACATCACAAGTGTTGATGACCATGCATTATATTCCTTGAGAAAAAGCATATTAAGTCCCAACATAGGTAAGTGCTAGTTTACAGTATCATTCTAGCACATTACTAGTAATGGGAACTTTACACTGAATACCTTATATAAGCTGTAATCAGAGTAAGAGTTGAGAAACGTATGCAGTTACCAGCACAGGTAAGTGCTAGTTCTCAATAACATACCAGCACATTACAAGTGATGGTTACTATAGACTTAAGGCATTTAAAAACTTAAATAACTTAAATAAATGCAGGAGGTGAGGAAAAGGGCTTTCGAAAGTGTGCAGTTCCCAGCACAGGTAAGTGCTAGTTCTCAATAACATACCAGCACATTACAAGTAATGGGAACTATACACTTAAGGCCTTTAAAAACTTAAATAATGGAACTTAAATAAATGCAGGAGATGAGGAAAGGGGCTTTTGAAAGTGTGCAGTTCCCAGCACAGGTAAGTGCTAGTTCTCAATAACATACCAGCACATTACAAGTGATAGGAACTATACACTTAAGGCCTTTAAAAACTTAAATAATGGAACTTAAATAAATGCAGGAGATGAGGAAAAGGGCTTTTGAAAGTGTGCAGTTCCCAGCACAGGTAAGTGCTAGTTCTCAATAACATACCAGCACATTACAAGTGATGGGTACTATACACTTATGGCATTTAAAAACATAAATAAATGCAGGAGATGAGGAAAAGGGCTTTTGAAAGTGTGCAGTTCCCAGCACAGGTAAGTGCTAGTTCTCAATAACATACCAGCACATTACAAGTGATAGGAACTATACACTTAAGGCCTCTAAAAACTTAAATAATGGAACTTAAATAAATGCAGGAGATGAGGAAAAGGGCTTTTGAAAGTGTGCAGTTCCCAGCACAGGTAAGTGCTAGTTCTCAATAACATACCAGCACATTACAAGTGATGGGTACTATACACTTATGGCATTTAAAAACATAAATAAATGCAGGAGATGAGGAAAAGGGCTTTTGAAAGTGTGCAGTTCCCAGCACAGGTAAGTGCTAGTTCTCAATAACATACCAGCACATTACAAGTGATGGGTACTGTACACTTAAGGCATTTAAAAACTTAAATAACTTAAATAAATGCAGGAGATGAGGAAAAGGGCTTTTGAAAGTGTGCAGTTCCCAGCAAAGTTAAGTGCTAGTTCTCAATAACATACCAGCACATTACAAGTGATGGGACTTGTACACTTTAATGGGAAAAGAAATTTATTTACTGTGGCAACTACACATAAAACCTGAGGATACCATGGCTTCAAAAGTCTTAAATCCAACTTAACCTAGTAGATGATATCTTCCTCCCATATATATAATATTATGGCATTATAATATAATTTTGACAAAACAATGCATTGTTTCCAGCACATAAAAATGCTAGTTGTTGAGATACACAAACATATTACATGTGATGGAGACAAGACAGTGTTCAATTTTTTGGTGAACAACCCTGATTTCATAATAAACATATTTCAAATATAACTCTTAGTAATCTTACACCAATAACAAATCCAAGCTCAAATTGTTAAGTTCAAAAGATAACCACTGCATAACAGATAGTCCAAATTTGTAATTGTATATTCATGCTACATATCATTGAAATTAAAAGAAAGTAGCAAAAATTAGCTATTATTATTCATCTAAGGAGGCTAGGATATTATAGGGTTTAAATCAGCACATATCACATGTAATGAGGACAACACACACCATGGTTAATGGTTAATAAATTAATGAAGGAACATGTTCTGAGAACGTTTGAAAGTGACAAACTGAGGAGAAAAATTGAAGCAGATTAAAAGAAGTACTGAGTGTACTAAGTATTGATATAAAAGATGTTAAACTTTCCAAAGTTCCCAGCACAGGTAAGTGCTAGTTCCAGATGCACACTAACACATTACAAGTGTTGGGGGCTTATAGAATAATAATTATAGTCTTAGAATTTGATTTTGTTAACGAGGTTGGATCCTGATATTTAAAGTCTTAAACTTTTTTGTCAGGTATATTTTTAGTTTCTACACACATAGCTTAATTAAAAATCAAAACAAAAAATGGGGGTCAATATGCTTCTTTCGGCGCTACAATACATTTAATTTGATCTTTTTGCACTGATATTTGTGTCTTAATCAAAAATCACATCTTCGACGTTTTCCCTCCAAAGTTTTTATCCAAATAAATCATGGGACAAAATAAACTATTAGTCTATTTAAAAAAAGACACATTAAAATTGTGACAAAGAAAAAGTTTCAAATTGCTTCGCATAATGAATTTTTTGACCTTTCTGCACTCACAAAATGTGATTTTTCTGGCATTAAAAATTTAAAAAGCAAGAAAATTATTTTAAAGTCTTAAACTTTTGCTGAATTTAAGCAGATTGATTAAAGTTATCTTATATATTCAGGAAAGAAAAACAAAAGTGGGGGTCTATGATCTAAATTTTTAGATATTACTAAAAAAAAAGTGTTAATTTTATGTTAAAATTGGCTCAATTTTTTCCTGGACTTTCAGAATATATTTACTATATTTGTCACAATATAATGAAAGAATTCATAAAAAATAATTTATTAGATATTTCAGAGCCAGTATAAAACATTTCACTGCAAAAAACAGCTCTATGTGCAACCAGCATGGAAAAATAGTAATCTAAACTTAACAGTACTGTATATATTTCAAAAGGGAAAAATTGATCATTTTCTTCTAAAAAAACCTTCCGCCACAAAATATAGTTCCTGGCTTAATCCTATTTTAATGGCATTTCATCGCGGTTTTTTCATTGGATATAGTTTAATTTGCATTGTAGAATCCAGATTCAATGTTAGAACATAAAAATGATGCAGAATTTTAGAAATAAAGGTCCTGACCAAAATCTGCTCAAAAGCTCAGGATCGAACGTCCTTAATGAATAAGGAAAAACAAATTAGAAAGAAGAATGTCAATGATGGTAGATCTGCAGTTCTCTACACAGGTAAAAACTAGTAGTGACATCATTACTAGCATTTCACCTGTGATGGAATCACACACCTGTTTCTCCTGTTAACACAATGTCATTATCAGAGATCCCAAAATGGGACAAAGCATTGATGCTGTCTCTCTCAGATGTTATTCACAAGCTTATAGTAAGACCTAAGGTATAGCTATTGGTAATTCAAATAGATGGGTTGGATTTTTCTGAGCATACCATAGATATTTGCCATTGTGTTGATTTGTTTATAAGACTTGTTTTTCCAAAGATTCACCTAATATAATTTGCTATTGACCCTGTTGGAACATTTTTTGCTTGTAAAATTTGCCATTTTTTACCTTTACAATCTTATATGTTGACACACATAAAAGTTTTAACCTTGACATTTCCTTTGACCTTGTCCTCACTTTTCTCAAATTTGTTTAGCTATGTTTCAAAGAAAACTATTCAAATATTATATTAAACCAGG